ATACTCGGGTGATTGTGATCTGAGGACTATAGTCTAACAAGGTCAAAAGGGCTGTAGTTAGGAGATAGAAGTTGGAGGGCTATAATCAGATGATGAGGGTTAGCATAGTGTAGTAGGATAACGGAAATTAGTGAGCCATAGTCGAACGACTATGGTTTAAGAATGGTAATGCAATGATGGAAATTGGGTGATATTTTGACGGTAGTGGTTTGGCAATGGCTTGATGGCCAAGTGAGGTAGTGTTTTGATTATGACAGTCGGGTGGTGGCCCAATGGCAGTGTTAGGGAGTTATTTAACCTTGGTGTTCAGGTGGTGGCCCAACGGTGGCATTCTGATGATGACCCAACAACGACATCAGGTGGTTATTCGATGATGATGTCGTAATCTTTGTTGGTAAGATCGTGATCCGATAATGATACTTATATATCTTTAAAGCCCTTTGCATCTTAATCCAAAATTTAAACTCCTAATCCATCTTCATATAGAGATTGGGGTCCTATTTATAAACTTTTAAAAGTGGCATGCCCCTTAAATATGGCCACAACTTGGAGCACTCCATCGGACGACCTATATTGATTCACTCACTTACCGATCATTTTTTCAGTATTTAGTTGTCATAATTATATTAGAATTAAGCAGTCTTTGGCTCTTTGGCCGTCAAAAAGTTTGATTTGATTATGAAATTTTAAATTTGGAGGTCATTTGACCACTTAATTAATATTCCAAATTTTCTCATTATACTCACTTGATTTATGCTCATTCGAAATCAAATTATGCCACTTTTGATATCATTGGTTTCATCTTGTCAAATTGTTCAATTTGACTATACATTTGCTGAAATTGGAGTTCGGATGGATCTAAATTTAATTTAAATATGCATCGAGTTATGTGCCCGATCAACATGATTTTTGATGAAATTTAAATTTTCTTTTTGATTTGTCATTTTATGTTTTTAACAACAATCGCAATATTTTATATATTTAATTGGAAATTTTAAAATTTTTACGACTAAAGTTAGATTAGAGCTAAATTATAATGGCCTAAAAGTGTTGATTTATTCAATATTGTTTTATTTTTAGATTATTATTGAGAAGTATGGCATGTTTGGAATCATGCATTAATGGCATTTATATTATTATAAATCTCTACATGTCATATTCATGATAATGATTCTAAAAATTACCAAAATATATTAATACATTCCTAAAGAATAAATTCCTAGTCTATAGATTGTGAAATTAAACATATTTGAAGGCCAATAAATTTTTTTTTTTTTTATTTTTTTATTATTTAGATCAATAAGTCAATTTTACATGCATGTCATCTTTTTTTTTTTTTTCTTTTTTTAACAAACAACAATCTATTAATAAAGAAAACCCAATGGTTACAACATGAGAAAGAAGGGAAAATACTAAAGAGAAAATTACAATTAAAAAAGCGGGCTCAGTTAGCGGTCGAGGCTTCCAACGTCACTGAAACCATGCTAGGACCGTCCAATAAGGTGGAGAAAGCGACCAACTACGAACCAGCCCGAAAAAAGCCACACCAAAGGTTGCCACCAACGAAGCAGCAGGGACGCGAGCCCCAACCACATCATTGCCCAAATCCCAAAAAATTAGCATATCGCTCAACATAAAAGTACAGAAGACTCGAAATAAGAGTAAGGGACAAGCAATAGAACACGAAAACACTATCGCCTACGCCGGCCTCTTCCACGAAATCTTTCCCGAGAGCCAACATTGAAAGTGGGTCTAGCACGAACAAGAGTGAAATCATCACCAGGGTCTGAAACCCCATAGAAATCCGGAGAAGCCAGACCACCATCTGAAAATACGAATTCAGGTACACCCTCCGAAGAGCTATCCAACCAATTAATATGGTTCATAATATCCAAACCAGAACTATCACCCAAGGTAATGCCCATATTACGCGTATCGACCAAACTAACAGGGACATCAATTAAATTATTGACAACCGGAATGCATTCATGATTCTCAGCCTCAGCCATAACAGGAACCTCAACAAGAATTTCCGCAGTGTTAACAGGAAAAATCACATTACTAGTAGACGATGAACTAGGTGGAAAAAAGGGTAAAGCATTTTGTGATAAACCGTTTGTAACAACCTCAGTTATAACACTGCATTGTTCCAGCCTTCCAACTCCCTCCCTAGTATCCACCGTACCAGACATAAACCCAATTAACGCATCCTGTGCTGAAACCGTAACAGGATCAACAATAGTAGGAGTAGTAACAACACTTAAGGGGACATCAGACGAAACCAACTCAGCAGTTTTAGTCCGACATTCATCCACAACCTGATCCGTCAAAGACAGAGAAGCCTCCCCAACAACAGGGGTAGAAGACGGCGAACCAGCAATAGGGAGAACCACAACATTCGCATTCTCACAATCCAAAACAATATGAGACGTAACATTTTCAGCATTGAGAACGTCTAGATTAACGTCAGGGGGGATGGGAGATATCTCGTTAACAGGCTTAACCTGGTGGCAATTTCCTAATGAATGGCCAATACACTTACAGCCGACACAGAATTGAGGTAATTCATCAAAAACTACCTCTTGAATGTAACCTAACGATTCTGAATCTAACCAAACATGCTTGGGGTAGGATTTTGTAATATCAAGCTCTACTAAAATACGAGCAATGGATGGACGGGAACCTACAGCGGTAGCTTCATCGATTTTCAGGGGCTTTCCAAACAAACCGCCAAGACCAGAAAGAATCCTAAGAGAGAAGAAATGCGGTCGAAGTCGAGGAAATGAGATCAAGACCGGGATAACCGGCGACTCAACACCAATATCTAAACTAGGCAACCATTTAGTAAATTTCATGAAATAATTGAAAACAAGATAGGAACGATGGCAAAAAACCCTGCAGTAGTCTAGATCATTGGCCAGTTTGATCAGGATGTGAGAAGGATCCAAAACCGTCACAGAAACTTCTCCATTCAGCTTCAAATTAAAAAA